AGGACGATCTCTGCTCGAGTTGTGCTGCGTGTAGCGCTGCCAGAGACGGGAAATCGTACTCTGCCTCACGTTTAGATGTCTGGCAACTGATGACTGGCTTTCTCCAGCTTCCAAGTGTCCAATGGCTCTGTTTCTGCTTTCTTCGTTTAGTCGTGGCATCTTGAGGGTCGCATATACAGAATTTCGGAGAATGAATCGCAACAGGACTGCTGGCTTTTTATACCCATCAGTATCAAGATTCAGATCCCGTGTTTGCACGTGCATCATGCTTTCAGATTTTTCTACATGCAGATTATACGGGGATTTTTTCAAGGTGCTGTGTTTTGGCGAATAATCACCAACAGTTGTGTTTGCGTGTGTTGGATAATTGTATGGGCTATGTTCACAATTAATATTAACATTGACAGTCATTCCATGCCATATTTTTCGAAACAATCTACTTTGAAGATCAGAATTCAGCTATGCGTTTCTTTTTTGGGCCAGTGCAGTTTCTACTTCGAGACCACCGTGAGTTCGAAATATCGACACGATTGTATCTGACTGATAATTTGATTCAAAATGGAAAGAATATTTAACACACTTAAGGTTAATTTCTCAAAACACATATACAAACCTTCGATACTTTCGTAAATTCTAAACTTTTAATAAGTATTTGTTCATACTTTGAAAAACAACACCAAATTTACTACCTATGTAACTTCACCTCAGTCTATTAGATCCATAACGTTCTACATTACAGCGATATTGGAGTTAGACAGGAAACTGCCTTATCAGTCCACTGCCTTACATCCGTTGTTTATTGATTACTGTTTATTTACCCACTGTTTTTACACAGACCTGACTATCTGTGACTTCCAGCCTTCAGATCTGTTGACGTGCGGTATAACGGCAGTGTGTTCATTACATACGAAGTCAACATGGCGCGTTGCTCTATTGACACCAGTCAGGTTATTGAGTTCTGGAGTGTCCTATTTATGACAGTTCAAATAATAAAATACAGAAAAGCTCTTTCATAATCATATTCTCACATAAAAGGAGTGTTTATTGTTCAATTAGTGCTGGTTTCTGGTGTTTGCGAAAAGGCTAACACATCATGTCCCTCTAGTGCCATTAGAGGGTGGTGGGGTAGCCTAGTGGTTAAGGCGTTGGCTCGTCACGCCGAAGACCCGGGTTCGAATCCCCACATGGGTACAATGTGTGAAGCCCATTTCTGGTGTCCCCCGCCGTGATGTTGCTGGAATATTGCTAAAAGCGGAGTAAAACCAAACTCAGTCAGTCATTAGGGGTGGTGGGGTAGCCCAGTGGTTAAAGCGTTCGCTCGTTACGCCGAAAAGCCGGATTCGATTCATGCGTATAATGTGTGAAAACGATTTCTGGTGTCCCCTACCGTGATATTGCTGGAATATTGCTAAAAGCGGCGTAAAACTAAACTCACTCACTCTAGTGGTATCCGTCACAAACACAGGCAAAGGCAAGTCATTAATGTTTGCAAATTTTTAAATAAAGGAACATACTCACTGATGATTTGCTCAAACGTGTTAAAGCAATATCAAGAACTCTTCTCTCTAGTCGACAATGTTGGCTCCTAGTTCTTGTTTTTATGGTTGTTTTGTTGTTTTACGCCGCACTCAATATTCCAGCAATATGGCGGCGGTCTGTAAATAATCGAATCTGGACCATCCAGTGATCAACTGGACTATTACTGTTTATAAAACCCACAAATGCACAATGTCATTTAGAAAATGGTCAAATGCAACATATGTTATATTTTAGGAGTACTTGAATCTGTACTTTACTGAAAAAGTGCAATACCAAAAAATGTCAAAACCCATCCCCAGTAAAAGTGGCTGGAATCGTGTGGTTTCTTCAAAGACATGGTGAATTCTCTTGTTCTTGCTGTGAGTGTTCCCACTGGTTCTTAAAAGAAGGGGACCGTCTCCGTGGTGTAGTGGTTAGAGCGTCCGCCCGGAGAGCGGAAGGTTGCGGGTTCGATCCCCGGCCGCGTCATACCAAAAGACGTTAAAATATGGTACTTGTTGGTCCCTGCCTGGCGCTCGGCATTAATGGGTACAGCAAGGACTGGTCGGCTCGGAGTCAGTATAATGTGTCTGAGTGGGGTACTCATGCTTCACTGTGGGATGCTATCTCAGTGACCTGCACAATAAAACCAGCTTAAGTCGGGGCTAGTACAAGCAGCCACGCATACACACGTATGCACGTCGTCATATGAGTACGATGTTAAACCCCATTTCACCTCACCTCACCTCACCTCACCTCACCTCACCTCACCTCACCTCACCTCACTTCACCTCACTTCACCTCACCTCACCTTAAAAGACGGGCAATAGATATTCCGAAAGAAGGTACTGCACTGGCAATACGTGTATTTGGTCGAAACCCGGTAACGTGCATACCAAACCCCACTGCAGCGTCACACAATAGGACAATTAGTGTTATTTTAGACTGGTCTCATTTTTACTCTTGGTTTACGCAGCGAGCTACCTTTAGGAAAGTATAATTACTTTTTAAAAGGATCTACTTTGAAAGAATATATTTTTTAAATGTTGTACATCATTTCGAATATATACCAGAAAACACCGTTTTTTCTCCTTCCTTTTGAAGATCTATAAAACATGGAAATACATCTCTGATGGGAAAAAAACGTTACTTTCACTGACGCAATTCTAAATTCTTTTTGACATTTGTTTGTTATGTTACACGTCTCACTCGACACGTTGAAGCTTTTGAAAAATCAATAGAAATGTTTGTTCAGCGAAAACACATTAGATTATGAATCAGTGACGAGTTCTGTTGCATAAGAGCATGTACGGGATGGCGTAATTGACAGGTAAACTGAATTAAACGTAGGTGTATGGGTGTTTGATGAGAAGGTCAAATCGGTTTGGGCCAGAACATATGGTGGGCGGTGGGGTAGCCTAGTGATTAAAGTTTCCGCTCGTCAGGCCGAAGACCTGGGTTCGATTCCCCTCATGGGTACAATGTGTGAAGCCCATTCCTGGTGTCTCCCGACGTGACATTGCTGGAAAATTGCTAAAAGCGGAGTAAAACCCAACTCACTCACTCACTGACCTAGCTAATGCATGTCATCGTATCCTAATTGCACAGATCGATGCGCATGATGTTGATCACTGGTTTGTCTTGTCCAGACTCGATTATTTACAAACCGCCGCCATATAGCTGGAATATTTCTGAGTGCGGCGTAAAACTAAACTCACTCACTAACTCACTCCTGGACCAAACTCGATTACAGACCACTTTGATCACGTTTTTTCCACATTGCAAACACTGCAATAACCTAACGCGCGAAGAAAGACTGAAGAAACACTCATCCAAATAATTCTCCAACACCTTTGAATTCTGACGATTGCTTAGAATTCAGCAATATCAGAATGGAATCCCTTTGAATTCTTAATACTGCCAGTTTGAACTACTAAATACGTTTTGCCATGGCTTTGAAGTATTCTCTGAATTGCCATTACTTCAAGTGATGCAAATATGGAGCTGCCACTTTAACCTTTAAAGAATCGATATTCGATTGTCGTCTAATGCAGGTTGTACAATAAGGACAGCATAGTGCTAACAGCACTCGCCAAAAAAACAAAGGTTCGTCGTTGTGGACATGAACGTAGTGGAGCAGGCAAGCATCATTTCACTGATAAAACATCGGCGACAAAGGCGTCTTGTAATGGTTGCATTTCGCATTTTATTTTCATTAACAAAAGTGTTAATAATGAAACAACATACCCACGCTGCTTGATTATCGTCGCTTGAACGTGTTACTACATGTTAGCGTGTTTCTACATGTAACGCTAGTTTTTGTACTGTAGTGTTACAGGGGAAAAACCGTTCTCCCTCTAACTCAACCTTTGAGCAGAGTGAGTGAGTGAGTGAGTGAGTTGGGTTTAATGCCGCTTTAGCAATATTCCAGCAATATCACGGCGGGGGACACCAGGAATGGGCTTCATACATTGTACTCATGTGGGGAATCGAACCCGGCCCTTCGGCGTGACGAGCGAACGCTTTAACCACTAGGCTACCCCACCACCCCTCATACAACACAGGCAACGGGGAAATACCAATCTCGAGTAACACAATAACCAGCGGAAATACCAATCTCATACAACACAGACAACGGGGAAATACCAATCTCATACAACACAGACAACGGGGAAATACCAATCTCATACAACACAGACGACGGGCAAATATCAATTTCATACAACACAGGCAACGGGCAAATATCAATTTCATACAACACAGGCAACGGGGAAATATCAATCTCATACAACACAGGCAACGGGGAAATATCAATTTCATACAACACAGGCAACGGGCAAATATCAATTTCATACAACACAGGCAACGGGGAAATACCAATCGCGTGCAACACAACCACTGGGGAAACACCAATCTCGTGTAGCACACGAAACGGGGAAATGTCAGTCTCGTGGAACACAAGAAACGGGGAAATACAAATTTTTGGTATAACTCAACAAACAGCAGAAAGACCAATCCATAGTACACAAAAAAACGGATTAATACCAATCTCTTGTAAGACAACAACCAGCGGAAACACCAATCTCATGTAGCACCAAAAAACCAATCTCCCCACAAAATCAGATCCTAGTTTTCACTAGCCCCAACCAAAATCCTGTGATTATTACATTTCATGAGACGATTTATATCTATCTGTCTCTCTTCCATGGCAAAGGTATGCCTTTACTGGAAGGTGTGGGTAGCAATCGATAGAATTATGAGAGTTGCGCTAAATGTATTTTCATGAATCTTGAATAGAAAGGAGGTTATTGTTTCAGACTGACGTTATTACTGCCTCGCATATTAATAATCCATCATGAACACCTCCGTAAGACTTACCGACCAGGGATAAGTGTTTACCGATAGAGTAATATGCTTTCTTGTTTTATCCTTATAAAATATTTGTATCAACGACCTGGGTCCTTATGTTTCAGGTCTTTAAGGTCACAATGGTGCTACACCCGGGTGTGACATCACGGGAACATGTATAAGGATAGCCCATACACGGGCATTGGCGTACACCGGAAGTAAACTCAGGGACGTAACAGGTATTGGACCGGAAGTGAAGTGAATATTGTGAAGCACTGAGTGGGATCTATTTTGCCACCATTTTCTGGAATCGGAATAAACGTTGCCATGGTGATATATCAGTATCGGTAAAGGCAGACGTAGGAGGATAACTGACAGTAAAGGAATTTGGAAGTGTAACTTCAGAACACGTTTGGAATAATACTGGTGCAAAATGTCGGACCAAGAATTGGATCCAGGGATAGAGATGGACCGCCTGGCTCTGCCAAATTTGAATAAGGAAGTCCCGGAGCCTAGCAACGATCCCAGATTGTCCCTCACAGCGTCAACGCCATCTTACGGCAGTACGCTCAGCATTGGACCAATAGCATCCACTGCAAATCTTCTGCGCATCGATCTCGAGCAGAAGATAAGCCGCCATACTGGTGAGGAACGGGAATTATGGGATAACCGGTTTCAGTTTATGCTGTCTCTGATTGGTTACGCTGTTGGCCTTGGCAACGTCTGGAGATTCCCCTACCTAACTCAGAAAAATGGAGGCGGTAAGTTTTATTTATATATTCCTTGCTTTTAATTGATGTTGTGGATTAATATACATTTTGCTTTTCATCAATGTGTATTTTTTTAGAAAAAGTATTTTCTTCATCAAGTATGTTAAGTGTCATTACATCGCAAAGCAGGGAAATATCTTGTTTATGTAACACATTTGGATTACTGTGCCTGGACAAGAGTGATGAATATGATACTGTGCAAACCGCAGGTCTATCTGTTTCACAAGGGAATACTGATATATCAACAAATAAATTAGCCACTATTGAGAGGTCATTAACAGAACCACAGCTGTCACACAATATGTGTATACCCGTGAAGATCCAGGGTAGAATTGGTCTTCAGCAACCCGTCGTAAGAGGTGACTAACGGGATCGGGTAGTGTCCTAAAACCATACTCACTCACTCACTTAATCCCATCTATGTACAACATAATGACAACAGGGAGATTATTCAGGATTTGATACATTGTAACTAATATCTTGCTGTTATATATTTGTTAAAATAATTATGCCTGATGTAATCTACCTAATACGACATATGTGCGGTGAGTGCCGATTGAAGATAAAGAATTTTCTACCTACAAATTCGTTTTCAAATAAATGACGAATTCTCTTATAATTTAAACATTTCACGTGATAGTTATTTATTTTAATACATTTCTCATGCAATCACGGCGGGGTTATTTATTCCACAAATATGAACCCGGGTCTTATGAATAGAATGTTCAAACAAGTCGCGGTGGCTGAGCGGGTTAGGCGGCTGACTTTGTGTGCTGGCGATTAGGTGCCTGACTCTGATGGTGTGGGTTCGAATCCCGGATGGGACTCAACCCAATAAAAGTACTAGAATCTGTACTTTACAAAGAAAGTGTAATCCCAATATAACAGATGTTACAAATACCCGTACTGAGTGTTTACTGTGTAACACATCTGTATCAAAGTGACAGAAAACATTTTTCCCTTGCCTCAGAAATTTCCACTAGGTGCAAAGTCTATTCCGACTATATTAGTAGCGCCTATTGATTTATCACTATCAAATACAACTTGTACTATATGGTCGCCCTTTTGACCGCGCCTGTCACAAACACATGCAAAGGAAGGTTAGTTTAGAAACTACGGGAACATAGGGTAGAATTCAAAGCGGGGAATTGCATCGGATATAATTTTGTCACTGATTCTTCGAAGTTGAAGTCATCCCTCTTGTGTTACATATGCTACTGGACCGCCTCCGTGGTGTAGTGGTTAGAGCGTCCGCCCGGAGAGCGGAAGGTCGCGGGTTCGATCCCCCACCGCGTCATACCAAGAGACGTTAAAATATGGTACTTGTTGGTCTCTGCCTGGCGCTCGGCATTAATGGGTACAACAAGGACTGGTCGGCTCGGAGTCAGTATAATGTGTCTCAGTGGGGTATGGTATCTCAGTGGGCTAGCACTATAAAACCAGCTTAAGCCTGGGCTAGTACAAGCAGCCACACATACACATACACACGCATGCACGTGCACGTCGTCATATGAGCGAAATATTCTCAAGCACAACGTAAAACCCAATTTCACCTCACCTCACTTCACCTCACCTCACCTCACCTCACATATGCTACTGTCATTTTGAATCAATATGCATATATCAAAACGTGATATCCCAGTGGTCACTTTATTTAGATCTGATGAGTAAATCGGAAAAATGGAAATGGCGATTCTATCATCTATACTGAACCGCATCAGATCACCAATATACCTGAAGCTGAAGTTAAACAGTTCTTGGCCAAATAACATTGTTCAGATTTTACAGATTCTATCAGTAAGTCGATTCATATGCAGAAATGAACAGATCAGACACAGCCTTGTTTCATCAACTTCGTCACCTGAAGAATCCCGCAGAGACGCAGTTAATCTAGGTTCATTTTAGAACCATTCCTTTTTCATATGAAACCTTAATGAACCAGATTTCAAAGACAGAGAAGGTCATTTGACGTAAACATGACTGTGAAAATATTTATTCAAAAATACATTCAGGAGGATTAAATTAATGTTCTTTCCAAACGTAGTAACAAAACTAATAACGTTTCATAAAACAGCCATCTGTTTCATCTGTTTATTAATTCCTTAATGAGGTCCATTGTCATCTGTGCTGCCCATGCAGAGTTGTGGTCTAAATCCAATACCTAGCCTCCAGCAATATACACCCCTGGAGGGATCACATTCCCTTAATACTCACCTACGTATATTACGTTACAAATGCCTAATGAGCGGTTTATAGTACTGTCCCAATAACAAAGTCATCACACAACCAAGGTGCTTAAAAAACATGGTCGTGGCTGTTTTTCTTTTTTTCTCGTGAAATGTTATTTTCCTAGTAACATTATACCAGGTGAACAAGGAACTTAAGAATTAGGGTGGCCTTCTGATGTGTTTATTTTAAGACTTGGTAATTAAGGGCGCAATGATGGACGGTTATAAACATCTCAATATGAACATCATTAGCCTACATTCGCTGGGCCCTGGGCTATGATGGCATTTCAGTGATGAGGGTTTTACGTTGGGGCAGCTGGCGCCTGGTGAAATGCATTATTAAGTGTAACGTGTTTGGACAATCTTGAAACTGACATGCAATTCGTTAAGTATAACGCTGCACGAAAGCGATGATGAAAATTAAGAGTAGAGCAGTATGTATCACAATTATTCGACATGAAACTCAATAACTTTTAATTATTATACAACCTTGTAGACACGCTTCAAATGTTGTAGACACGTTTCCAAGGAAACGTGGTGTGATCGAAGTGGTACTTAGATTAGATGTTGATCGAGTAACGTCACGCTGATCACGTCGATCTTCCTCAAAGGGAAATAACTCTCGTGGATTCAAAGAAATTAGATAGTTATGTTAACTCAATATTCAACTCATGATCTGAAGAGAAAAAGAAGTTCAGAACTCGTGTATACGCACAAGTCGGGCTGGTTAATTCATATCCACGCGTGGGTACAAATAGATCCTTTAGAATGAAGGTTTGTCCCGATGGTCTAAATAGCAATACAGATGTCGTTAAGATATGTTTGCTTGGTACAATCACGGAAAACACATCTTCTGAGAAAACAAATAATGTTACCATGTAAAGAAGTGGTTCTTTATGTATAAATGTGCGTATTGTGAGATTTTACAGCTTTTGTATCCATTGTTCAACAAAGATGCGAAGGTTTTCACTAGGGCGGGGACGGGTAACCCGAATACCCGGGACGGGTGGGTAATGAGTTGGACCCGAGTACCCGTCTCAGTACCCGGACCAGTTTTGATCACGTGACTAATAGATAAAATAATGTAATTTGTTATTCTTTCATGATTAAAAGGTTGTATTGTCTTCGAAGATTTAGGCATAATTTACAGTTACCTGTTTTGAATATAACACATGGTTTAGATGTTGAAAGACCCTAAATTTTAGCCTCCGAGCCGAAGAATATATTTCCATTTCTTACAAATTGATGTCAGGAATGATCATAACAGGTATCAGGGTAGGGTAATAGGGGGTGGGGTACCGGGTGGAAAATGTAGACCCGTCCAAGCCCTAGTTTTCACCAATGAAGGACTACGACTATTCAAACTTGAAAATGTTCATATTCGTATTCTCTGTTTAAACAACATTTTATGTAGGAAAGGTATACGACAGCTGTAAAATAAGGAAATTATCATTGTCGCAGTTTAGATTGGGTTATTAAGATCTAATGTATTTTATAAATTATGTCATGCTACTGAGAACTAATCCTGAAGAATGTGTCATGATATTTAAGATGACTACCACGCCCTACCCATCTGACCACAGTATGAAGATATAAGGAGCCAATATATCCCATCTAAGTCCTGTATCACAAGTTACAAAATCTGTATACTAGTGTCAACAGAACATGCCCAGCTTCTACAGGATGGTCCTACGTCTATGCACCATGTCAAAACGTAAACATGCTTGTACCAACCATTACAACTGTTTTCACTACGGGCATCTGGGGGTGATATGGTATAAATGTGCCACACATTAGAATATTACAAATGTTTAAAGTGGAATTATTGATAATGGTCTCAGCGGAATGCAGGCTGTGTTTTAACGTTCATTCAATGGTGCCAGATATTATGTAACCACATACATGAAGCCCCGGGGTCCGGGTAAAGCTCATTTATCTGACAGAATGTCTTCCACTTGGGATGTTGCTTGGCTGGAATGAAACAATTTAATATTAGAACAATGCTTTCCAGATAATTGTGACATCAGCAACTCCCCTTGATATTTTTTCTTGGGATTCTGTATTTAATTTATTCCTTGTTTGATAAAGCTACAACATTTCTGTTGCTTCTATATTTGGGGGAGCATTTTTGGTTTGTATGTTTCACTTCTGGTTTTTGTTTATCGTTAACGTGTTTGTTTGTGTTTGGGGAAGATTATTTTGAGTTTGTCTTCTTTTTGGAAGGGGTTGGGGGGAGAGAAGTTTGTTGTGTGTGTTAGTTGTTTGAGGTTTTGGGTTTTGTTTTATTTAGTTATTTCTGTTTGTTTATATTGTGTTTGTATGTTGGGGGTTTTGTTTGTTTTGTTTTTGTTTTGTTTTTTGTTTGTTGTTTTGTTTGTTTAGTTGGGGGGGGTGGTCTTTTTCGTTTTCTTGGGTTTTTTACGCTGTAACCTCCTCCACTGTTTCTGTTTCTTTTGTGTTTTGTTTCTTTTTGTCATTTTTGTTTGGGGTTTTAGGGGTGTTTGTTTTTGGTTTTCGGGGATTTTTTTGTTTGTGTTATGTTATGTTTTTGTGATAACGGTTGTATCGTTCACCGGTTCACCCAGACATATTCCAGTTATATGACGGCGGTGTGAAGATAATCCAGTCTGGACTGATAGGTACTGTGTACAACCGACGGGGTACAATGACTCCATCATTTACATCTTTATCCCTCTGTTCATTTGGTGACCTCTTACGACCACCATTGGTTGTCGGAATCTCCATGGGGTTATGTAATAGAGC